TCTCTCCATTGGGCAGACGTCATCCCTAAAGCAAGCTGGAGTTCTGCGCTCTGCATCACTCTTTGCTGTCCGTCCGACACAAAAAAGCCACTGGCATTGTCAAGACCAACTGGTGCGCCAGGTGTGGAAACGACTTTGCTCAATCTCTCCCGGTCGAAACCAACATTGACAGGGACACAAAACCGAATACAACTGGCGATACGCAAACTGTAGGCATCTGCTGGATAGTTCAAATACTCCCAATAAAAATTGCATTCTTGGTCCCATGGAGTCAAAGGGCCACGGAACTCAACATCGGGAACCAGTTTTACTATGTAATTGCTCGGTCTTTCGTTTAGTGCCGTCCTGCCCGTCCCTGCTTCATGCTTGGTCGAAAGCACGTGGGACAGGCCGTGCTGCTGCAGTCGCTCAAGAAACCAACCTGGCTTTGGAATGCCTTTGCGGCGACCATCGCCCACCTGAACTCCACGCCTGTAGCAATTGTAAGGCACAATAAGTGCGAACACGGCCATGAGTGCCAAACGCATCACGGAGTGAAACATTTACGCTGTTCGTCGTTGTTCGTGCTCTGTTCGGGCTCTTCGGGGCTCAAAAACCAGGTTTGGGGGGCCAGTTTGGGGTTAATTTTAATTTCGTCACAAGCACGACATGAGCCTAACATGCCTGGCACCTCTGCTGCATGCTGTTAATGCTGGTCCACTACATGCCACTACATTGCCGCACGAAAAGTAAGCTGTTCTGCACCGACTGTCATGACTGTCATGTTTTCAAGCATTTACTTCTGGGCCGTACAATGCCGCAGACAACAAAATTCAACAAACAACGTCAGAAATATTCTTTGTGACATGTCGAGAGAGGTACCAACGATTGAAAAAACACAAAGCTATATACATGTGTGTGGAAAACAGACAAGCGGAACAGGCCATCCGATGGCCATCCCAAGCCAAACCCGAGGGACCTACCAAAACGACTCCAAAACACCAGAAAGCTTTGACAAGCCGAGAAAACGACTTGAAAACGATGTTTTCACAGGCGCAAGTAGAGCACAAGAAAGGAAGCAATTGATCTAGAAGGAACAGGCCCGTAGCCCACCGAACCCTGTCCCCGAGGGTTTCTATGAAATTCAACAACCACGTCCTTTCAAAGTCGCGGTCGGCTTTTTCCACCTCTTAAGACTCGTTTGGGAAGTGATCATCGGCGCATCTCTCCAGTCCTCCAGGTCGGTGTTGATCTCGAACGACTGCAGCATCCTGCTGCGCCGGCATCTTTGCCCTCTGGGTTGGGCGAAGCGAAGTTCGACGAACTCGTCGAGCTGGCGTGGAAGAAGGCGTAGAACCAGCCCTCGATGATGCCGCCATCTCCCGATCTCTCTGATTCGTCATGTTCTTCGCCACATCTCTCGGGGCGATTCCATCTCGATCCGCACCGCGGGCACACCCAAAGTATCTGGTGGGCGGTGGCACTGCGGCACAATTGCGAGGAAGTTGTCGCGGCTCGCCTAGCGGTCTGGTAGCCTTCGTCTTCTTCTTCTGCGGTGTATCGAGAGGTCTCCTCCGACCCGGCACGTCCTCGACGAAGTCGTCCCTCTTTGTCAAATGATCCACAACCATCTGGCTTCGGGCGAGGCCAACATCGTCATCAAGGCGACAGCCAACCGGCGCCACGCAGCCAGGCTCTTTCTTGGGCGACCATCTTCTCCGCTTGGGCCGGGACTGAAGACACAGGCTTTTTAAGGGGCTCAAGCGCACGCCTAGGAACACGCGGGCCCTTCTTCTTGCGCCACACTGTTTCTGCCAGCCGTCTGCAAGCTCCTGGAACACAATCATGTTCCAAGACGATCCATCGTTGCCCACGTCCATGTGCAAGTCAGCGGAGTCTGCACTCCTCCCTCTGTCACGGAAGTCCATGTGAAGTCCCCTGAGACCAGGGTTGCGACCCAAGCATTCACGTACAGGCACACCGGTGCATTTGGGGATTCGTGTCATCGACCCATGTGCGAACAACCCGAAAGTCGCGGTGCCCGCTTGGTCATCTCTAGACTGTAGAACGCCCCTCATGGACGATATGCGGTCCAATAGTCTGCTCGAAGCTCTGTCAGCAGAAACTCTTGAAGAAGGGTCAAGCACCTGCAAGCGGCATGTCTCGTGAATTTGGTTGGACAACCGAAATCGCTAGCAAGTGAGACAATGCCACTTCGTGTGGCTGCCGGCTGCCGCTAGAGGACTGCGCTGGGGGTCCGCGAGCGGTAGTATTGTCGGGGCCCGAGCCCAACAGTGGTGCATGAGCGTGCAATGTTGGAGTAAGCTCGAGCGGCGGAGGCACTTGTTCGAGTACTTGGGTGACCGCCGCATACTCGAAGCACCCGTCCTGCATCATATTCTGGGCCTTCTGTTCAACTGCTTGGATTCGACACTCACGCTTCATGGATCCTCCGGACTGTGCACCCTTGACCATCTGAGCACAACTGAAAGACCCAGACGTCGCAGTATGTCGTGGTAGATCCGGAAGATGCGGCAGATGCTGCTGTGTTCGATGTCCCTGACAGCTGACAAACTATGCCACAGTAACTATGCTTTGTAATAGCCCCGGACCAAGATGTCGTGGTGAGCTCGGAAGAGTCTTCACTGGACCCCTCGCCGTCGACGGCAGATACGGAAGACGTTGTAGATGTTGATGTTTTCAAAAGCCCGAATCCCTCCGATCTGCACTGTGCATCTGCATTCCCAAAAATTGTGTTGCGTCTGAATTGGGCAGCACGAAAGGATCGCGCCCGCCTTTAGTAGTGGAACGAGCACCTCCTTTGCCATTGCCTTTAAGATCTTTAAGAGGGCAGTCGCGAGCGTAGTGTCCCAACTCTTTGCAATTGTAGAGTAATATTTGTAGCAACGGGCTCTTGTCAAGAGGTCCTTCGCCGTGCCACGAGCCATGGGGCCCGTTCGTGTCGTCGGGGATCCTTCGCCAGCTCGGCCTCGGCCTTTCCCGGAGCTCTTTTGATCACCTTGGCCGCGGTGCTTGACAAACCCGCACTCTTTGCGCCGATCTCGTCTCACATCACTGTAGGCCGAGTGGTAGGCCCTGATGTAGAGTGTTTCCTGCTCTTCAAGCTCGCGATCCACGAAGAGCAACCTGTGATGAAGAGTGCTTCCTGCTCTTCAAGCTCGCGGTCCTCGAAGAGCAACTCGTCCTCTTCAAGGGCGTCTTGCTCTTATCATCCTCCTCGCCTTGACCTTCATCTTCGTTTCCTCATCGGGGAAGTTCAACTGGTCGCCGTCCACCTTCAACACCGCGTAGTGTCTGCTAGCACTTGATCTCAACACAGCACCTGCCGCCTGAGCTATGTGAGCTCTGGACGGTCCAAATGACGGAGGAGGCTGACCACTTGAGAAACGTACACAACTGGTTCGTGTTCTTCAAAGCAATCATTTCCCTCTGCCAGTCATTCAGCTGAGGCCTGTCTGAGCAGGATCCTGCCCGCGATCTTCTCCGGCAGCTTGTCTTGGAGGTTCGTCTCCATTTCCTATTTGGCCACTTGTTTGGCAGCTATAAATGCCGCCACATCCAGGTAAGGCTTGTACTTGGTCATCAAAGCCGTGCGGAGATGACATCTGCCAAATGCACCTGATCGGCTATCTGTCTGGGCTGGGACCCGTCTTGAAAAGACTGAAAAGTCGGATGTCCGACTTTTCACGAGGATGAGAGGTCTCCGACTCCCAATGCGCAAGCAACCAAAACCTCAGCATGTTCAGTGGGCCTTGTCGCGTCGGTATTGATCTTTTGTCGAGCTTGGATGAAGCGCTCTGCCTGGCCCGGTGGCCGTGAACTGCTCACTGGCATTCCATGAGCCTCGAAAGCGTTCCACTTTAGCTCCGTCTGGAACTCCAGACTCTGGTGTGTCCAGAGTGGCTGCTGCTGAAGCCGCATTGTGCACATGTTGCGCAGTGGGTAGGTGGGGCTCGTTGCTAATCCCGTACCTCTTGGGTCCTGAGCTGCAGGCGAACTTGCCTGAGGCATCTTGTGCCATGGAAGCATCGCCGCCGGCCACCAGACGGGTTCCCAGCACCACATGTCCCAGGAGGAGTGAAAGCTCTTGCCAAGAAGGTGGGAGGAGTCCAAGCCGAACGTCTCCCTTGAAGAGGTCCTCCAACCGCCACCAAGGGTCGGCATTGCATTCGGGCTCGCAGTGTCGTTGTGCCCTCAAAAGAATTCTCTCATAGATGGGTCAGACAGGCTCCGACCCGGTGTGAAAACTGCATGAATTCCTCAGCGGCCCCGGGCCGCCAACCATCAGCTCGAACATTCTCTGGACGACCTGCGCCGAGACCACGATCATCATCGTTCACTCGCAAGCCTCCCCGCCGTCGCAAGTAGTCGGCCCAAGGTCGGGAGTAACCATGACAGCAGGTTTTTAAAGACCTGCTGCTCTCCACCAACTGAAATAACGCAGCCATCTAGGCAGAGTCTTTTGCGCGAAGCGCACCTGTGAGCTGAAGCCCTGCGGGTCGCAAACCGCTTCGGGGACAAACATGCTCAGACTTTGAAAGCGGATGAGTTGGTTCAAGAGTTTAAGGTAGGTTTCTACAGAGGTTTACTGTATGGAATGGTTTATTTACAGACGAGGGGTCACATGAATGGGCGGATGGATGTATGCATGTATTGATAGGTCTGATAGGTGAGTGGCTGGATGGATTCATGGCTCAGAGCCAGGTAAACACGACCGCAGCATACATAGTTTTGATCAACCCCTGCTGATCTTCTCCGACTTGCCGTCTGGCCGGGCTGTCCAGGGAAGCTCGCTGGATGTAGCTGGCAATGGGCTAACAATCATCTCCGACATGAACGACAGACTGACGACGAAATTCATCATCGTCACCGACCGAGTCATTCCCGTCACCTTAGATCCTCATCGTGGTCACCCGCACCATCATAATCATCGTCCTGATGGCGTCATCGTCAGTGTCGTCATCCACACCTGTGCGTGTCGAATGCCATCTACCCCCTCCTCAAGCTTTGAAGGCCTCCTCGGGCGACTCTACACCGTGCAGCCGCAATGCGAAAACACGCCGTTGAACCTCAGGAGGCGAGGCGTCGATCTGAGGCCACAGGAAGCGAACGGCTCCCGGCGCGCTTGCCGGTTAGAATCCTCGTGACGTCACACTGTTGCGCTGGGTGCGCTTCACTGCGTGCGGAACTCCATGAAACCTGCCTGAAGGGTCGTGGAAAACGGCGGTGGGGTGCTTTCAGGTGCACCTCGGGAAGCTTCGGCGAAGCAATGCGAAGCCCGGAGTCTCTTCTGCTTCCAAGTGCCCGACCCGCTTCGCGTCCTCCGTGAAGTTCGAGAAGTTTCGGCCTCGCCAGACCCAAGAGTCCGAGTGCGACTCACTGCGACGTCGTACAGTGACTCCACGAGGCCCGCTCGGGCGAGGTGTGTGGCCGGATCGTAGCCTTTGTTTGCACTGCAAGCACCCCATCGGAAAAACATTGAAAAACATTGAGCGCCTTGATCACACAGGAAGTCGTCTGCACGCACGCGGACGTCCCCGTGAACTCCTCAGGCGCCAACCAATGCAGGGATGCAGCAGATGCAGCAGTGCTCAAGAGAAGCACTGGGATGCAGACCATGTGCCCCCGTCACCTCCCCCACAAAAGCAAAGCCGAAGGACTCCGGATCGTGGGGATCAAGTGCATGGCCCTGGATGGCGGCACCACATGTCCACGCTTTCCAAAACATTTGCACATGTCCTCACTTCCTTGTGCCATGCAATGCGACTATCAGGCCCTGCCAGCCCAGTGTCCTTGCTAACATCAGCAATCCGTTTGTACCATATTAGACACCCGTTCCGGAAAAGGACGGTGAAAGTGAAATTTCGAGCTCCAAAATCTCCGAACCGTGGTATATTGCTAGCTTTCTGAAGTCAGAGAACTACCACGCAGATCCTTTCTACCACTGTGACTGCTGAGTCGGAATTCACGAAAACTTGTGATGTAATTCCCTGATGTTCAGAGTCGCAGCTCACATAACAAACCATGGCCCCTAGGCACCGAAAGGCTTTCAAGGAGGGGTGGCTGATGGCAAATCGAGTGTTGTCGCTCCCGTGCCCAATGTGAGCTGTCTGAAGGAAGCTTCTTGCTTTCATATTTTCTTTCCTCTCTGCAGCCAGCAATGCATGTCCTGAGCACCTGTGGCTTTTGGCCTTGCGGCACATCTTCCTTCACATATCAAGGTGCTCGCCGTGTTCGAAAGCAAATGCAGCAGCCATGATCACGATCCTACGAGTCGTCAGTGAGTGATGAACAATGATGCGAAAGCCCTGACGATGATGCCAGCTTACTCATGATCTACTGTCAGTTCAGGCAAGTTGAACCCTCCAAAAAATCGTATTGCTGCTTGCAACAAACATGGCAGCCCTGATATCCTGTGTTCTCGGCAGTGCTATGCACTACCAATCAATTCAATGACTGTTGCGTTCGACATGAAGGTAAATGTTGACGACAAGGAAAACGGGCATCATAGCGTCACGATTATCAACCTATTATGAAATTGTGAACATGATCGTCATGATGCCAGTGGGGGCATTCATTGACGCAAATTGAAGAAGACGGATGAGGTTCAGAATAGCAATCGTCGTGTTGAGACCAGTGCAAGAGCAATGTGCATCTGCAAGTGCCTCTGGCCATGTCGAGCGCCACATCTCCAGCCACTTCCTGCAGGTACGTACACCGGTGGCTGCATAGGCAAGCAGTGCCAGGTGCCGGCCTTCGCCAGACACGAATGCAAGTATGTCGCAAAGACATTAATGATGTGAATGGGGACGGTTCGAGAATGGAAAAAGAGGGTGATCGAATGCACACAGCAAACTGCATTCTGTTCTTGACGAAAAGCATTGTGGCGAAGTGTGTTCTAAGGACGCCCTCCAACTTATCCATCTGATCCTTGACGAGTCGTCGGGATGTCGTTGTTTGTGAACGGAACCAGGGAAGCACCCCCAACATCTGAATGAAGTAGTTGGTTGTTTGACAAACCAGTTCGACAGAGCAGGCTAGCGCATCGAGCCTGTCTCTTTCCTGATCTGTCCTCTCTTGCTCCTCTGTGTCCTCGGAGTGCAATCTGCAGTTGGTGCAACTATGGTCAAAGTTCGCCCGAGTCCGAGTCCTCCAGGGGGAAGCCGCGATTAAACTTCATTTTGCCCTCCTCCTCGCCGACCTGCAGAGGCCATGGCGATCCCGGAGCTCGATCCGCTTTCTTCGCTGAGCCGCCTTCTTCCCGCGGTAGCGCTTGTACCCACCAGATTTCTTCTGCAGATCGCCCCAGAGCATGCGCCGCTCCCTTCGCTCCGACGAAGATCGAGAGTTCCACGGAAGTGAAGGCAAGCTGTGGCCAGGACGTGTCGTTTCGAACCTCTTCCATCTCCTGCTGCCACTTGTCCAGCCTCAGCACAAGAGCGAAGACACCTTGAACCCGTCAAGAGCGACGTCATGAGTCACCTGCGGGGAAGGATTCTGGTCTTTCCATTTACGCCTCTCTTGATAAGCCTGATCGCGAACTACTCTGGTCTGCACTCTATAGCACCCTATTTTGCTCCTCCTCTTTTCGCTGCAAGTCCAGGGCACCTGTGGCCTGAGAGCACCGGAGACCGAACCGTGTTCTGGTCCTATCGGAAGCTGCCTCTAGCAGCTCGATTTGCTGCTTCTCCAACTCTTCCCGAGAAGGGACATCATAGTCCAGTACCTCAATAGCATTCACACTGCTAGCAGCCCTGCTACAAGTAGAAAGAGCGGCAAACAAAAGTGCCCAACCTGCTCCTCCGTCTCCTTCACTCGCACCTCCCATCGCATGAAAGGCGGGATCATGATTATGCCACCAAACAGGAGCAGACCAGACAAAGCCGCCCTCTTGCTCACAGGTGCCGGCCCGTAGCTTACCGAGGCTTGCCTCCTCCTTCGCGCTGCGGGGCAGCCGACTCCTCCGTCTCGACCAAGCAGCCACCTCATTAGCAGTCATGAGTCATCAGCAGTAAAGGAGACCAAAGCAAACACAACCGACCTAGACTTTAGGGCCAAGCAGCAAACACGGTGGCCAAGAACTCCGAAGATTTGCGGTAACCGCAGTGTCCGCTGCGGCTGCTGCTGCTTCCTCCAATTCCGTAGCTGCCTGGCAAAATCTGAAAACGCGTGTAGAGTCACCCTTGGGCTCCCGGCCTGGTGTCGGGTGGAAGCCAAGATTCTCCTTGGCGGGCTCGGCGAGGCTTCCTGGCAAGTTCAACCCGTTTTCGGGTCAGACCCGACGAGGCCTCCCGGCCGGCCTCGACGGGAAACTGCCAGGAAGGTTGCCATTTGATCTGCTGGGCGTGTTTGCGAGAGACTACCACATCCTGCACACTATGCCTTTTGGCTCCACTGGCAACTTCTTGTTCGTCCGCTCTTGTTGCTGTTCACTGGCAGAACCGGAGCCGAGCTGCATGGCGGTGCAACAGAAGTTTTTGTCGCTGTCAAATGTTGTAGTCAGCGGAGTTAACGGGTAACGTTGGGCTTGTGGTGGGCAACATCTCCAGAGCAATGAGGGCGGCTTCATACTCGAAGACGGAGCAGACGGCTCAGAACCTGGCGAGAATGGTGACAGGCGTACACAAGCGGATTGAAGTTGTTTGCAAACATTGATTGAAGTTTCGGCCGTAAGCTTCAAAAACTTCTTGTCATGTTCCACATTCAAATCCTGCTTCTGTGGTGCACCACACATATGCTAACTGCCGACGGGGCTTTGTTGGAAGTCTGATCGGCGTGGAGTCTCCGTGGACGTGGCTTGGTTTGCAGAGGCAAAAAGATATGCCTGGGAGTGCATCAGACCTGTCTGCCCAGCCGTGCCGAGTGCATATCTCTCGAATTGCAGCACGCCGACCCAGCAGCTGCGGCGGAACACCACCACCACCACCATCAGCAACAGCAGCAGCAGCAACAGCAGCAGCAGCGCCAACGACAACAACAACAGCAACAACGACGGGAAGGCACAATTGCTGCACACGCGACGACATGCAGTGCGCTTGCATCTTTTCAGGGCAGGTTTCACGAGCACGACCTTCGCAGGTAACCTCCTCGATGCTGCGAAAACATGAGGTAGTGTCGCCCCGTGTCGGTTGTAAACTCCGGGTGCGACGCCAGGAATTCTTTGATTGCTGGCATCGGGGTCTTCGTAGAATAGCTGTCCTCTGCGATGATGTAGCTACCGGGCGTGACAAACCGGTTCAATGCATTCAGCTCGGCCTTAACATTCTGTGTGCTATGGTCGCTGTCCAGGACAACCAAAACCCTCCTGGCGCTCGCGGCCAGCTCTGCAACGCGGTTGACGAAGCCGGCGCTCGTCGAAAAGCCCCTGAAGAACTCAACGTTTTTCCACTGGGGTTTCGTGGACGCCATCTCAGCCGCTCTTTGCCCCTTATTCCAATGTGCAGCCCACTCATCCGGATGCTTAACATCAGCAGTGATCACTTTGCAGGAGGGGTTGATCATGGACATCATGGACACCATCCAAACTGCGCTGCCACCCGAGTTCGTGCCAGTCTCCACAATCAGATCGGGCTTCACGTCGTACAAGATCTCGGAAATGATCTGCTGATCGTTCGGATTCTGTCCGAACCGCACTCCCAGAAAGCGCTGAAGTTGGTGCACGTGGCGATGCTCATACTCGTCCTGATAAGCCTGAGTGGCTTGCTCCAGCTGAGAGGACAAAGGTGCAACTGCTCCGAGCTGATGGAACGCAGTGCAATGGCTGACCGATTCTGGTTCCGCAGCCCGGCTGGCTTCGACAGACTGTGACGGCTTGTCTGCAGCCCTGCCCACCTGCGCAAGATTGGAAACACCTGTATGCCCCGAGCGGGCGGTGGATGCTCGAATCCCAGCAGAATCCTCGTCAAGACGAGCTGTTCAAATTTTCATCACGGTTGACGCTTTACTTCGTGTTGCCAACCGGCCGGACGGCTTCAAAACTAGTGAAAAACACTGACACAGGCTTCGGCCGTTTAGGCTGCTGCAGTCTTGGCCTCGAAGCATAGTGTTCAACCTTGTGAACTTTCACGGTGCAACATCTATCAAACCCATCATACCCATATGGGGATACCAGGGTATCCAAAATTGGTCCGAGGCTTCAGTGAACTATGACGGAATAGGCAATGGAGAGATAGCTATGATAGCTACTGTCCCCTGGGCATGTTATCCGGACTTTCGCTCGTTCTCCTGCCGGTTTGCTGTTTGCAGGGTTGCAACTAGGATCTGCTAATATCCTGTGCCGCTTCGACCCCCGTCCTCCAGAAGATACAGAAGTATCAGCACACCAAGGCCGGCAGCTACCACGAGAACCAGCAGGCGGCGACACGACATTGCATCTCAAAGCTCTGCAGCATTGGGCGGCTTCATGCTTCTAGGCTTCTAGGGGTTCTGCACAACATGCCATGATTTTGGAGAATCGGGGTCATCCTGCATTCGTACCAGAATGAAGGATCTATGTTTCGAATCTGCCCCAAGAGCCCATTACGACATCCGGGGTGTGCTTGCAAACAGTACCGCTCCATACAGGCCCACGCCACAAATCCATGGACACTGCATGGACTCACCAGTTTCGGGTAGAAGTAGGTGACCACAAGATGCAGCTTCAGCTTTCGGAGTGCAGCCTTGTTTAAGTCAGCGATTCCGCTTGTGCACAGCACCGATCAAGTGACGGCAAGGCGTCCCAGACATGTGCCGGAATATCAAGCCTGCGCCAGGCCGCGTCTCTTTCTCTAACACTGGAGATTCTGATACCCTCATGCATCTGGGCGCATCTAAGCTGCAACAACACTCGTGGCTGGGACTTCTGACAGACTATCAGTTGCGTGACATGTCTAACATGGACGAAGGCATCATCTGAAACATTCGTCATGACCCCACCTTTCGTTTCGCCTCCTGCCACGCCTGCTTTTGGCAGTCCCTGCCACAGAAAAAGACCTCACTTCTCAAACATTTAAAGCATTGACTGTCAATAGCTGCATGCTGGCTGCACCAGCTGCTCAGCTGCATACAGCTTCCTGCTTGGACCAAGCCCAATTCGAACAGCGAAGCCTCAACAACCAACTCAACGCATCTTCTTGTTTACTCACAATGGGACGCCATGCGCGACGAGGGCTGGACAAGTGGTCTCCTTTCACGTTGCAGTGCCAACACCTTGCATGGCCGGCTGTCTACTTGGGCTTTGTTTTGCAGCCGGCTCGGTGATTGCCTCGCTTCTGTGTTCGGCTCGTCCAGGGCTGGCATTCCCTCGCGCATAACGCCGAAAACGACTCCGGTAGTGCTGAACCTCACAGGCACTCAGTGTCGCCAGCTCTTCACAATTTGGGACAAGCCGAGCAGGAACTGAAGTGTCCAATGTACAAATAAGCAGGAGGAGTCTTGTCAGGGTCTTAGCAGCGACATGCCCATTCAGGCGCTAACTGCTTGGCCGTAGACCATGCGGACTTGAAGTCCTGCCAGCTCTATGATACTCGGCCCGATGTGCCCTTTTCCCTTGCACGACTCTGTCCTTACTTATCGTTGCAACAAGACTGTGCGAGGCAGGGGCCCGAAACGCAGACTGACTGTCAATCCAAGTAAAAAGCTATGCCGTAGAGGCCATAAGATGCGAAAAGGTATGCAACTTTGGCATGACTGCAGCGCTTCTCGGTTTGCCTCTGTAAGCAGAGCTTCGTCGCGATGATGCCATGCGTGTCACCCCGTCTCTGCCAGGGTCACAAAGTCTTAAGGCCGTCTGCAGTTCCAGGAGCATCCCATCTGGGACATCAAACTTTTGTGGATCCCTACAGTGGTCATCGTTTCTAGCCCCAAGTTGTCTTCAGAGCACACCGGATGGTGCTTGACATCTTCTTACTTGCACGAAAAAAATGCTCCGAACGTTCCCATCCCAATCGCAGAAGGGTTGCTGCACCCTGAGATGTCGTAGCTAGAGCCGGATCTGACACAGCCCATTCACTAACAAACACACACGGTTAGCTATGCCTGTGGATCTGGACGGTAGTCATCGTTGCTCACCTACGCGTCGGATTTCCTGAACGTTTCAACGAGTGAAACAAGGAACTGAAACTGTGTGCACGCGAAAGTTTGCAGTCTGTTTAGGTTGTAAGACTGCAAGACAGACATAAGGTCCTCGGCTTAGACTCTGGCCATTGAACCAAAGAAATGATGCAGATGTGTCTGGCTGCTCAGGCCGGATGTCACCATGCACTGATAGTGTCTTGCCTCACCATATGCTGCCCCCTTGTTTTCCTAAAACATGACTGTGCATGACATGACCAAAGACCCTCAGGTTCGAATCAAGGTGCCCGCAAACACACCCACGTTCTGGGGGATGTTGCACTTGTGTATCCTGCTCAATTCGATTTGGGGAGGTGCACCAGATATAACCGTCAAATTGTTAAGCGGTCCTGTAACGTTCAGCCTGAACCATAGCAGCGTGATGAACTTTTATAGTCGTAGGTATTCCAGTGCAACCATCTAAAGAAAACAACCGTAAGCAAGGTCCATTGACATCGCCCGCTGATCACAGGAGAGTCCCGAAGATGTCTGTGAACCGTCTGGAAACGTGGCACAACGCATCTTCGCACGACAGGGCTCTTGTAGGAACAATCAATCCTTGTCGGTGAAGAAAGCTTCCGACCCATGCATGTATCATGCCACTGCACGTCATGAGTGCTTTGAATGGCTGAATCAAAGGAGCCTCCAGCAAGTGCAGAATGACCACTCAGAACAAGGTGCCATGTTTTGCAAGTATCGTCGGATGTTGTTGGGGGATGCGTTCCCTTTGCGCGAATAGCCCACACCAACTCCCAAGGAAATCTTGCAAGAAGTTTCATTTGGGGACATGTTGTCGGTACATCGTGTCTCCCCAGTCAAAACCGGATAAGCAAGGCTTTGCGCACACGCGCACACACACACACACACGCACACCCTGATAAACTGCAGTGCTCTCACATTGCCCTCCTGAACCGCTGAGTCCGAGCATCGCTGTTTTGTACTCCTCTAGTCTGATTCTGCCCTTGTCGTCACCCAAGCGCCTCCCAGTCGTCGATTTGCAATCCGTTCAGCTCGACGATTCGGTCACCTGCACGTGCCCACTGCTGTAGGATCCCTTTCAGCCGCTCGACTTGCAGTTGGTAAAGTGCTTTCGCCTGGGTGCCAGCCAACCTTTTCACTTTGTCGCTCCACAGACACCTTACAATGCATTGGACACAGAAACCAACAAATTGGAAGTGAGGCACGCCGATGCACCATGCTCATGGCAGCGACAACAGCTAACGTGGCCCACAGCCGGCAGGGCCAGCAATGATTATAACTGTGATGGTGATGGTGATGGCGATGGTGATGATGATGATGATGATGATGGCGAAGTGAGCATGCTCGTGGTGCATGTGTGAGGATCATGATGCTGGCATGTGACAGCCATGATTGTGTTCAGGAGTGGTGGTTGTCGTTGCATAGGGGCCCGCTATGACTCTGTTCAGGCCGATGGCGAGACATTCGAAAGGGACTGCAATCGAAATTGGGGTATGCTTTGAAGTTGACTGATGACAGCTGACGAAATGAAGCTAGCAATGAGACACTGAATTTGTGTTGCTGTCGTCTTGGGCCCGAACAACAATCAGGCCTGCCGCAGTATGAACACAGGCTACACGCTGTCAGGTATCATTGGTATCATTGCGAAGTATGCGGTTGAGGCCAGCACCACCAAGGTCTTCATCGGCATCGTCAAGACCTCATGCATTCAACGATATGCACACGACCGCCGAATGAGCACTCAGCTGCAGCCTAAGCCCAACGTCCCATCCGGCAGGGTCTCCTTCAGATAGATTCGAACCTTCGCAGAACTTCCCCAAGAAAGGATGTTCGTCCCCGCGCATGCAGAGATTCCAAGACTCAGACATTCGGCTTCTCTGGTGCCTTGGATGTTCTTCGGGCTTTCTTGCGTTTGGCACGCAGCAGCCGCTGAACCTTTGGTCGAAACACGAGAGGCCTTGCTGCAGAAGATGCTTCATCAAAAAAAGCATTCCAGGGTGGAGGCTGGCGTGAGTGTCGAGATGTCAGCATCGCAAAGGCCTGCGCCAGAGACAGGAACAACAAATCACGCTGTGAATGTGTCGAGGGGGCGGCGCCGGCCTTCTGGATCATCATGCTTCTCCTTTGGAAGGCTAATCTTTTAGCTCAGAATGTTGCCAGACCCTTGCTCTCCTGCTGCTCTTCATCGCTACCGGGTTCTGACTCAGCCTCAGCTGGACAAGCCTCAGCAAGAAGCACTGCTGTGCCATTCAAGAAAGATCTGCCCTTAGAGTCAGCAGGAAGAAGTCCTGCCTCACGGAGCACGCGGTCGGCAGGCAAAACATCCTAGCAGCTTCGGAACCGGGTTGCCTTGTTGCCTTGATGCATCCAATGAAGTGATTCAAACCTTCTTTCTGCGGCTATGCGAAAGTTCTAGAATTAAGGGTTGCTATGATCCACATCCTCAGCAGTCGGCACGGCGTCCTTGTGGTCTTTGAACATCTTTCGAAATGGATTATCGTCGTCACTGTGCCAGATCCTCAATAGCAACAGGCTCGTGCTTGTTGCGGTGGCCGGCTTGCCACCACAGAAATCAAGCGCTGTACACATGATTGAGAACCGAGGGTGCAGACCAATTCACAGCAGCTCGGAAATGCTGCCGGTGGCTCTCTGTTTCATGACACAATGGCAATGTTGTGTCTTTAATGTTTATGGGTGGGCAACATAGAAAGCATGATGTGCGCGTCCAAGGAAGACTTTCCACTTCGCATCTTCCCTCCACTTCGTACGTCCTGGTTTCGGAAGAAGCGAGCCCCGACCAGTATGAGCATCGCCGAGCGGTCAGTCCGTCCAACGACCGAACGGTATGATATGCAGGCAGATTGTTGTGTACACTGTATACTCTCCGCTGCGACTAGTACCTGGAGTTACTCGTTTTTTACAAGTCACTCGGTGCGGACACTTCTCGCTCAAGACATACATGCCGTGCTGAGAGTTGGCCACAAGAGCTCTCGTCGCAATGTCTCCTTCTTGGAAGCTGACCAAAAGTCGGTCCAGAGTCTGAGGCACAAGCTCACGGCAGCACTCAATGCCCTCTTGCCACTTCATGCTTGATGCCGCCACCGCCAATGCCTGAGCCCACAACCGGAGAGCCACAAAAAAAGGTTTACAACCTACTCCGTCGCTGAAGCTGCACCATTCTTTCATAGACCAGTCTTCAACATGCAGGCCAGACTGGGATCCAACACAAGACCCGACAAATGAATGCGGCTAGCCGGCTAGCCAAGTCAAAGCTCGAAGCTCCACCGCATAGGTTGCGCCTTCTTCTGATCTCGAGTCCGTTCGTCCTGCCAGCGCTCTAGACCTGCGAGCACCGCCAAGTGGACTGCCATAACTGGCCATAACCAAACAACGCTTTGAGCAGATGAGGCTGCAGCATTGAAAGAGGGTGTCTTCCAAACTTCTGATGTAACGAGCAGCCTTCCGTTCGTCTCGAAAGTGCTGCTGGATGCAACTTCTGTCACTTCTGTCTGTCCCTCTGTGTGAGCACGATCCTTCAAAAACATAAGTGCCCCGCAACGTCGTAGCTGGCTTTTGAAACACTCCTGGCCAGCAGCCTGCTTCGTGTTTGGTGATGGCACTATCAGCGTGCTGGATGCCACCGGACCGGGAGCACGACTGCAACACCTTCTTCATGAAAGTCTTGATCCTTGTCGTGTATATGGAGCCAGCAGTTTCGCCTGAGACCGCGTCCACCCCCATGCCGCAACGCATGCCATGCTAGTAGCCCGTCTGCCTCGCCCAAAATCGATCATCAACGGTTCTCCGCTCTCACGATCAATGATGATGTTCTGGATGGGGTCCACGATCATTACATCATGCCTGCGGCGCACTCCGTTGGCTGATGCTGCAAGCGACATGTATGAACAGCATGCTCTAGGACTGGTCCTGATCAACGCCACCATCATCTGAATGACTTTCTGCGCCTCAAGCCCCGCAAGAAACTGACGTCTCGCCGTGTTGCCAGCAGCTGAAGAGCAATTATGTGCATGGTGTTAATGTTCTACATGCCCCACGTAAGGCTGGTACTGAGTGACGGGATCTCGAGTAGTCAGACCTTGAGCATGCCGCATTTGATCAGCAATTCCCAAACCGTTGCACTTCTGCCGAGACGTTTCTACACCATGAGATAAGAAATCAATAACCCTGTCGAAAACTAAACAAGGAGTGTCTACCGTTCTGCCATCGCACCCATGCATGGCAAGGACATATCATCATGCGCTGCAAGAACTGGTCATGCCATCATTTTAGGGAGGACGCACGCGTCGGACGGTGGGTTGTAACTCTCGTTACAACGGGCATCATTTCTAAGCAACGTTTTGTTTAACAGCGGTCCGCTTTTTCTGACAGTGCTCGTCTTTTTCTGACAATGCTGTATTCTTTTTGTCTGTGACCGTCTTCATTCTGACAGCTGTTAGTAATCTAATCCAAATGCATTCATTCATACATACATGCTTACGTACATACCTGCATACCTACACTCATATGCAGACACATACATACATACATACATACATACATACATACATACATACATACATGCACGCACACGCACACGCACACGCACACGCACACAGGCGGAAGGAATGACACGTTCTTTTACCGCTGTGCCTCGACTGCATCCCATGCAACTCTTGGAAATTTTCGGATGTCTCACATACCCAAGCGCCGTTCGAGAACTCCTCATTCCACTCTCGGGGACTAGTCACTTATCACATCAAGCAGACTACTGAAGATGCCGGGGACTGCGCCTTTTCGTGTCGCGACCAATCAAGACAAGACACGCAAGGAGACGAGTGGGCGAGGGATGACAGCTGCCGCTGTCGGTTTCGGTGCACGGGGATTGAGGATGCTTCGAACAGCTCAGTGCGAAGCATATACGAACACAGCTTTGCTGCATGTCTGCTCACCACTGCAAGTCTGCGATGCAGCCTCATGGCCCTCGAGAAAATCGGAATCTGCAAATGTCAGCCTATGTGATCAAACTGAAGTCCACAATGACGAGCCAAGACTCTAAGTAGTACATATGAGATGCTTGCTGTTGACAGCATGTCAGGAGATGAGATCACGACCATCCGTTTCTCACCAGGTCAACTCTGTCCACCTGCAACAACAGTAAGCACGTGCTTGGCATTCACAAGCATTGCATGTCTGCGGTTGGCGTTCTGCTTCCTGCGGTTCGGTCGTTGGTGGATGTGCGAGCCTTCAGGTTCAGGGCCTTGTGCCTTCGTGCAACGTCCATTGGATTACGGAGCGAGGCTCAGAATTGGACATGGATTTCATTCACTGTTTAGCGTCTCTGTGTAAATAAACAATGCACATCCTGAGAGCCAATGTCAATTTCTGAAAAATTGCATGGTCTTGTAGCTTGGGGGGGCCCTGCGTCAGGCCTTTTTCTGCTGCGAGTATCACGTTCATCAGTTCTCGTCCTGCTGCACTGCCATAAGAAAACTCGCAACTCGCTTGGCCCAACTTCTCATTTCTATGCCATCAGTGCCTGTTTGCCCACTGGCTAGCAATGCCGATGAAAACCACTTGCATAACCTTTAATAAAATTACTACCCTTTTGTCAGTACTCGCTTTATATGCAATTACATACTTGCTACCACGTTGCCATCCTTCACAATACCTATATCGCTAGCCAGCCACCGGTCCATTCGAGCAGAAGTTAAGGTGGCGGCCGTCTTCAAGGATCAAGTCCCGGATGGACAAACAAAAAAAGAGAGTTGCCAGCCCATTGGAGATGCCTTGCCATGAGTTGCGGGGCCTGGCTCACTCCGTCGCACTGGTTGTTCGGAATCAGCGCTTCGGGGATGTATGGCCAGCTTACGATGAACCTCACAGGGTTGTCTGGGTTTGACAACTCGGGCAACCCGCTTCGTTGGATCCTGGATCAGGGGCGGCGCTCGTTTTCGGGTCCGACCTCAACGAGCCTCTGAACATTGGGAATCCGCCTCAGACAGTGGCGCGTACCCAGTGCTCAGCATCAGAAGTGATCATCGCAGGATGCGGAGGTCTGGACAGCTGAGAGACCAAACTGAGGCACTTTGCCTCGCAAGCATTGGCGATAAAGTCTGCTGGTCTCGTTCTCAACCAAGCTACGGCGGTTAGTTGCCTCGGTCTGAAAAGCCATTGGAATGGTTATCCGCTTCCTCGGCTCTTTCAGTACGTGTTGGTGGTCGGACACAGATCTCCGAGTAAGGCAGCAGCTTTTTGGTCGGCAAAGGATGCTGCATCCTGGCAGTCATGATCATCAGATTCATCACTCATTCATCATGATTCACAAGCACTCCTCTGCAAGTCCCTGGAGGCTCAGAAGCTTGGCAGTTGCCGAGAGAGGGCTAGTGAACGTAAGGCCCAAAGACTTTCTCCGCCGAAAGACAATCAAGGCATTCTCGGACCGGATCTCCGAAAGTTGCAGATTACTTCACCACTCCCAAACCTTCCAAATGCACTATCAATCGAAACAAAGCCATGCCGTCTGCGGCTTGAGGACCATCAAGTCCGAGCCTGCGTGCGGTCTTGGTGCATGTACGTACACTGGGCATCGGCGTTTTGTCTGAGCCAAGGGCTTCGCTCCGGGTCTGCCACAAGGTTCTCGTAAGCTTGATGGATTCTTCTGAACTCCAGGACTGCCTCGTGCACTGTCACTTCGAGCAGGCTCAACATCCTCTCTTTGAGCCTGGTCGTGTTCTTCTTCTTTCACTTTGTCGGGATGCCATCGCCTCGCAAGCCTTGCACAACGCTATTTTCGACAGGATGAAAACCCGGCAGTCTGCTGACCTTCGGTAGGATTTCGCGATTGTCGCACGGTCTGACCCTCGCGGAACGTCCAGCACCAGGTAGGGATCTTCCTCATCCTGAGTGGCCTGTTAAGGCAACGAAATGCTGCTTCGTCGATTCGTCTGTGCGTTTCCAGGGGCCTTTGAAGAGTCAACCATTCGCAGGACCCGGAACACCAAGCCGTAGTCTCCCGATGCCACGTAGCGAACCTGCTTCGATCTCAAGGCTTCCACGCAGAACATAGATGCATACATGCGGCCTCAACATACTGGTACATCGAATCAGATCCGGATGTCCAGATGCGACCGCCGGGCCTAACGCGGCCTTGTGGTATTGCAAAAAGGGCAGATTTGCAGAACAATCGGGTGGTAAGCATGACTGCAACGACGGTAAGGACAGCACTGACGTAGCGAAGCTGCATGCGGAATTTGGTGCTACCTCAGTGAGTAGACGGAGAATCATGGGATGCGTTGCACACGTTGCGCACGATAGTCCCGCTGCCTACGTCAGCCTGGCAGTCCTATGTGCACTGCATTTGCCCGGTCTGACCGCACCAGTGCATCAGCACTAGGTGCAAATCTGCTTGGTTGACACATGGGGGTGTCTTAGGGGGGGGTCATGGGAGGGCGGTCGGAATAGTCTTTTCATTATTACGCAAGGGGGGGGACGTTATTATTCCGGAAGGTGGGGACGTTTGCGGCAACCCGGGTCCGCAACCGCTTTTGGGGGAGCTTCTGGGCTTGGTGCTATGTTTGATGGACCGAATACCACAAACCCAGAAATTCTCAGATTTCTCTGAAACCCTAAACCAGAAACCCGAACCCCTGAACGCCAAACCCAGAGACCCGAGGCCAGAAACCCAGAACCCGGCAACCCCACACTCTCAGAAACCCGGAACCCCGAAACCCCAAAGCCAGAAACCGTACACCCAGAAACCCCAGATATTCAGCTGCCTCAAGCAAGCTTGGACTGCTGCCTGTTTTTTTCTTGAATGCTGTTGACGGGGCTGATGTGCAGAATGAAGACATCGTACAGGTCAAAGCCCATCAGGATTGGAAGCTACTTCAGGGACTTGAGCGGTGTCTCGTATGGTTTAACGGGATAGCTGACATGGCTGCAAAGTGTACAGCGCGTCAGTTTAGCCAGGTTCTCAAGTAATTATGCGCTACCACGCTGACATTGCATGGTGCTCAGTTCATGATTCCAAGCCTGAAACGACTGTTCAGCTGTTGAAGACATTCAGATATTTTATATCCCGTATTGAGGCGAGATTTCAGAGCGCCTTTGTTCCACATGTCAGAGCCACCGCTTCGATCGCAAAGCTGAGTTGGTCGCAGTGCACGCCCGGTTTGACAAGCAGGCCATGTCACGTTTCATTTCATGCAGCTTTCGTTGACCTTCGTAGGCAAATAGCCACCAAGACATCGGTAAAGAGACCAAACTTGTCATTCCGACCTGATTCGTTTCGTTGATGTCGGCTTGTGAATTTGGTGCGTCAATTTCGTTGAGGTGTTGTCTCGGACTGATAGTGTACAGAAGGTGCATCGCTAGCCTCGTTGCCCGTGGACCGACAGATCACACAATTCCGCATGAACCCGGAAACCCTACACTCTCAGAAAACCCCAAACACCCTAAATCAGAAACTCTGAACCCCTAAACCCCAAACCCAGAAACAGCAAGGCGCGCACAGCACAGCACGGGAGGAAAGGGGATCAGCACAGGAGGGAGGGCACACCGCACCGGCCCTGGGAAATGGGATTCGACACCACAAACCAGCAGGGGCCGGGGGATTAGATTGCACCAAGACCCACAGACCCCCACACACACACACACACACACACACACACACACACACCGACCGCGGGGCAGGGGCACCTCACGTCCCAGAAGGCAGAAGGGAGGATGGATTCGATTCAACCGCGCCAACACCCCCACACCCTAGCACACCGATTGAATCCCAGCAACACCCCCACACACGAGACGGAAGCATCCCCGCAACACCCAGACGAGAGGGGGGATCCCACCACACCCACTATCCGGATCGCATCCGCAAACCCTTACGACCCTACGAACCCACGCCGCACCAAAGTAGGGGAGGGGGAGGGCCATGGGCCCCCACCCCACATCCCCCCGCCCAAGGATCTGTCGTCACGATGCGTTACTCAACTACTGTTACGTGGAACTTTGAGAGAACCTGTTCCAATCTTCTCCACCACCACTCATTTCTACAATTGCATCTACTATGTTCGTGCGGCCCCATCCAACGTTCTTGAAGTTCTTATTTGCTACTCCATATTTTCCTTCTCGCTGTGGCACCGGTGGTACTGCTCATGGTGCTATGCTGCTCTAGACGGCGACGCTAGTCGACAATCATATCATCTTTGACATCATGCTCAACATCATCAGTGTCGTCAACGGTACCATCATTAAAAGAATAGCTGCCACCATAACCATCGCCATACAACCCTCACAATCAAGCATTGTAATTCATGTCTGATGCAGGAAGCTACTGCGCAGATTGCGGCTTTCCGCACAGGGCAGGGGTGGGGTATTTTTGGGGGCCGGGGAGGGGGACCTGCGGCACTGCAGAGGCGGGCAACCCCCATCAGGAGGCGGGGGTGCGGGGACCCGAAAGCAAAAATGGTCAGGGGAATTCGCGCCCCCCCCCCGCTCAGAGATGGGTCAGGGCCGTTGGAGCTGCAGTGTTGCTGGGGGGCGGCCGGGGGGTCACACAGAGGGCCGGGATCTTACGCAAGCCCTACGCAAGACATAAACCCTATAACGCAGGGCGTGTTCCCATTTTTTAACCTCAACCTGTACTTTACACCCTACACCCAACCCTAAACCCCGCCTAAATGCCGGCTCTAAGCCTAAAGCACAACCTAAACCGTCCCAGAAACCCTAGACCCCCAAACCCAGCAACCGCAAGCCCAGACACTCTGAACCCCTAAACCAGAAACCCTGAACCCCTAAACCGCGAACCAAGAAACCGCAAAGCCTAGAAACCCTGAACCCCTAAGCCCACAAACCTTAAAACCCATAGACCCTGAACCTGACAACCCAAAACAATGCGGGTCCGGTCCGTCAAAAAATGTTATTCCACGAAAATTATCCCGCGACGTCACCCCCTCTAGAATCAATATTTCTGGCACCCCCCATGTTGATACCGTCATCCAACTTCGCGGTCTCGCGAAGCATCGGCAGACGACACATGAAACACATCTTATTGCATCTCTGCACACCGATTGAAAATTTGTGGGTTCTGACATCCGTCCAGCTTGTTCATCCATCCCCAAGCCGCTCCAATGGGCAACCGCCCCCCCGACCCACTCCATCCCATTCCCACATCCTCAGCTTTGTCTGAGTTCACTACGCACGGCACTGGGCCGTGCGCGCCGTATGGCTGTGTCAACTTTGTCTCGGGCCCCAGAGGAAACGCGCAAGCCGCACCAACACTATCCGTTGAAAGACTCTGCATGTTGGAGTTTTTATGATACTCGGAACAGAGGCGGGGCGAAACTTCAACGCTTGCTCGGACTAAGCCGCTCTCCCCTTTCGAAACTTGCAATGAAGACTTCCGTTGGATTTCTTCGACAGGCTCAGGGACGGGCTGTGACTTCCACCGGTCATGCTTTCGCTGCCATCTGCCTTCGCATCATTGGACACGCCGTGTGCTTGTGGCAACATGTGGCAACATTGCACCACCACTCTCCGCGAGCGGAAAATGGCATCTAGAAAGGACGACCGCTTCAAGGTCTATGCAGCGTGTGTAGACCAAGCGCAGGGCTTGGTAGCTAGATGAACATGGTGCCCGACCACAAACGCAGAACAAACCCACTCGACGCTGAAGTGCTACCTTGTGCTCTCCTGGCAAAGCTTGCAAGCACACCAGAGGTTTAAGACAAGCAGTCGAATGATTCTTTTTAGTTTGACTACTGGGTTTCGAGCATATCCCTCCACGCGGTCAAGCAGGTCACCAAACCCTGTAGACTCTGCGAGCTGCAAGCTTCAAGGCTACTGACGTTCTGGCTTGTCAGTATGAGAATCTTGTCTTTCGGAGATTTTCCTTGCTGCAGAGGTGATGGTTCTAGAGCCAAAGCAAAAGACGAAGACATCAAAGAGTCTGACGGGACCTGTCGTCGGTAAAGCAATGCTGGGATCTCGTAGGGTTGGAAACTTTTCTTTGCTAGGTGGAGACTTGACTGTACAACCCGTAGCGGCTAAAACAAAAAACGGTTGGGCATGCCGAGTGAGATTGAGGGGCTCCTCGTAAAAGCTTGCAGGCAACACAGCCCTGCGCGCACGAAACACAGCCAATTGTTTTGCTCACTCTGCAGAGCCCAAGCCCTGCGGTCGTGTGACGTGTCGAGACTCTCTGCACATGCCAACGCGAAACCTGAAGTTTTGCATTAACGCCTCATCCTACTCTTGTGGCTCTCCGATTTCATCGAGATACCACGTGAGGTTGCTCTTTACGGCAAACCTGCGCAGAGCATGCAGAAAACACTCCACCGTTCCGTGAGCTTCGTTGAAGAGCTGCCTGGTGGAGCTTCTTACCAGCTGTGAAAGACTCGTCGTGGACTTTTCTCCACCGCTGTCGGTTCACGAAGAAGTTCAGAAGATCCTTCTTGTTCCCGGCTTCTGTCAAACCATCTGCAAGCGTGGCCAGACCGTTCACCCAACGTAGGTGCGTCCTCAGCCGGGGGGCCTGTTGAACGGCAATCGTCAGCTCCTACCCGGCTCGTGAGCATCGCAAGTCCGTGCAGGGGTGACAGGTTACGTGACATCGCGTCATACACTGCACGGGAGTCCATCATCAGACCGTCGGTGGTGCAGTCTGCCAAATCGTTTTCGAAACACCCTCGGCAGACCTTGCCTCCATGGATCTCGTACCAGAAGGCTCTCAAGAGGAAGACAACGATCGCGTGGACCTCAGAGCCGTTGCTCCCAAGGTTCTCAGGTGGCGCCTTGGTGGAGCACCAGGACACCAGAGCCACAGACTCTTCACTCCATTCCAGGATTGTGCATGGAGTGTATCCTGCCATGTAGCCAACAGTACTTGACTTCTTATGCCTGCTATTCTGGGACGCAGCGGCCCATACAATAGTGGCGATCTCGCGCCAATCCTTGCTGGAAACCAGAGCTTCTGAGATGCCTCCTTCTTGACTTCGCACACTAGCCTGTTCGCCCGGAGCGCAGTATCCACTGTCGCTTGCTGCACGGAGGAAAACAACAAAGAAACATCAGCTTGGTGGTGTGGTCCAGACGTAGATTCTGTCTCCTGTCTGCTGCAGGTGGCATCCTGCAAAGTCGAACTCTCGTTCACACAACTTACCGAGTTTGAATTTGGCCTGACGGTCGCGCTTGGCCTGCTCGTACTTCGGGTGGTGTTCACGTCCGCGGATCAGGAAATCATCAACGTGGATCTCGGCTAGGGCGATGAGCTCCCGAGTCGTGTCATCATAATACAGGCGAAACAGACATCCGTCGACTTTTGTCTGAGCCCAACCACCAAGAAGCAACGCTTCGACGACCGACTGTTGCCACTTTCGCCCCGCGTGCACTAGCCCGTAGAAAGCCTTCGTAAGCTTGAGCACCGTCTCCTCGCCGCCTTCCGCACCGAAGAGTGCAGCAAATTCTGAAGGCGCCCACACGAAGAGCTCCTCGTCCTCTAACCTCTGGAGGAACGCCGAGGTGCCATCTCCAGACTCCAACTTGAAGCCTTTTTTCGACGTGGCAGCCAGGAGAGCATACCTCCCAGAGCGACCCAAAGTCAAAGCCACTATCAGGACAGTAGTCAAGTTGTGCTGTTGAAAGCCCAAAGCCACAAGTCTTGCCCACCTTATCTTCATCACCTTGGAGTAGTCCAGAGGCCCTCGAGCTCAGACTTGGTGAGTGCATGTTCATTTCCACGGCCTGGGCCTCATCTCATACAGCTTCTGCCAAAAAACTTCCTTGGACTTCCCGGCCATCTTTTGCGACATCCACACAGCCGCTTTAGACGGCTTCTTCAGTATTCGCTGAACGTCCTTCTCTTTCACATCGATGGTGCACTTGACGGCCAGCGTGCTCTCCTTGATGTCCTTCCGAGGCAGGTCTGAGTCTGCCTTCCACTTGCGCTCCTTTCGACTTGAGGAACTGCTGCTGCTGCTGCTCTCGTAGGCCGCCGATCTGGCTGCCTCTTCCTCTAGCTCTGCCGGAAGAGGAACTCGGGCTGCAGGCTGTCCAGGTGAAGAACGTTGTTCAGCAGGAGGAGCCTCCGCAGCGCCACTGGTAGGTGCAGGAGCTTGCACCGCTCCGGGCGTGCCACTCGGCTGCAGAGACTCGCCCTTGAGCTCGAAGCGAGTCCCAGCAAGCCACGGTTTGGTTTCAATTCCAGCTGCTTCTTGGTTGACCCGGACTTCTGCACGAAGGTCCGGCGCTTGCCGGTGAAGGAGGTCTCCTTCACAGGGCACTCTTGCACTTTGTCCGGTGTGAACAGCGTCAGTCGCATGCTCGAAAACATCCATTCCGAGATATGCCCAAGACAGTTGGTGGCTCATCGGTCGAGGCAGGGCCAGGCAGGGAACAGGAGTCATACGACGACTCTAGGACTCAAACGAAGTGTGCCCAACTGTGCATCCTCAGAAGCCCACCCTTCACCTCGTCGAGCTTGCGACCTGTAGGCCTCTCTGATGGCAGATTCATCCGCAAACTCCTCAACCACTGACTCTTCAAGACCCGGCATGGTCCTGTTTCTGAGCCACTGTGGTGTTGTAGTTCTGGTCCGCTGTGGTGTTGTAGTTCTGGTCCGCTGTGGTGTTGTAGTTCTGGTCCGCTGTGGTGTCGTAGTTCTGGTTCGCTGTGGTGCCGTAGTTTTGGTTCGCTGTGGCGTCGCAGTTCTGGTCCATTGTGGTAGCCGACAAAGTACCCGCCAAGTAGGCCTAGGTAGGACTCTACATCATCACGAAGGGACCCCGTATCGTCCTCGAAGATGCCAGCCCACAGCCTCCACGACGTCCCGAATCATGCCATCGGGGAGTTCCAGAGTCGCCTGGTCCAAGTCGCCGTGTTCGCGATGTCCCGGACAGGCGCGCCTCCCAATCTTGCAGTAGAGCGGCTTGGCATTCTAGTCAAGATCTTCCATCGGACAGGTGATGGCTGAGGCCCTCGTTCATAAACACATTGGTCCACGACTCGAAAAGGTCCATGTGCCCCTAGGAGGCGACATGGAGAAGATTGTGCACAAGGTGCACGCCGTGGATCAAAGATGCTGCGGTTGAGCTTGCTGGACAACAGGCTCATGCAGAAGGGTTGGCTAATGGAGAATTATGAGCGAGCACGGCGACGAGATTTGCAATCAGCCGAGAGGGTCGCTGATGTGGGCAAGCCGGATCAAAAGATCAAGGCGGTAGTTGTCCACGTCGTACCCCAGAGCCGCGGTCACTGTCTCGCAAAGGAGGCCTTCATCTCGAAGACCAGGCGACAAAATGTCATGTCCAATTTCGAACACGTCCACTGAATCCGAAGCCAGCGCCAGCAACGACGTCGCTGGACAAAGAGCACTAGCAGCACTAGCCACGAGCGCCCTCAAGGTCAGGCCCACTGCCCAATGGCCCGGAGGGTTTCAAGGATTGTCTCGAAGAAGTGCCGGTGTGGCACTCGCCACGCGCTCTCCCTTTCACAGCTCCGAGCGACATACACATGTTTTCCCAGCTGTCCTGCTCCGGCTCGCAGAGCATCTTCGTCAGCCAGCCGGAGCTTCAGCTATGACTAACAGCACTTCAGCTCCGGACCGTGCGGCATGCGGGCCTTTGATGGAGAAGCTCCCGGCACCATCGACCGACCCGCAATGCGAGGGCTGGCCTTGCTTCATGACGCACGTCCCGAGCAAGCAGCACGGGGTGGGGCAAATGGGTGGACCGCAATCGTTGCGCCCTCAGGCTCCACTACGAGACCACCGAGGGACACGAGGAGTACCGTGGCCAGAGGTCACCCGCGCAGCGATGGAGGAGCTCGCAGGTCGGGATGATGGTGACGTGACGTGCGGCGAGCTGACCACGGTGAAGGACACGGTTGTGAAGGCCAAGATCATGGAAGCGCAGATGCCGTCGTACCTGGCGAGATATCCGGTGCCGCTGATCGAAGAAGACGACGGGGCCAGACAAGGTCGAGATCCCCACCCGTCGGAGAAAGACGGCTCCGACATCACGGCCGTCGAGCTCCACGGCACTGGGCTCAACGATGACTCCCGCGACTATGGTGATCCGGCGCAGCAGCGATGGCACCACTCTGTCATCGCACCCACTGCAAAGATCTCTGACGTCACACTCAACAGCATGTGGCATAGGTCTCGAAGGGGATGTGCAGGGCCAGGAGGGTGCAAAGGATCGACACAACAACATCCACCGGCTTCCGAAGGACATGCTTCACAAACTCCACAATGACATGCAGCTGCTGAACGGTAGTAGCCGGTAGTACAACATGACTGAACTGCCTCAGCATGACATGTGCCATGAACTGGCCCTGTCTCGCCAAGGGGCCCTGTTTTGCAAGAGTGGGGCCCGAGTCCTCGGAGTCATCTGGCCCTTTGGCATTGCCCAAAGCCTGCACTGCTCCGGGAGAGGCGAAAAGCTCAAGGAGTCAAGCCGCCTCGTTGGGGAGCGACACACCAAGACGATCCTCGGCCTGCTTCTTCGAACTCATCAGGTTGGTGGGCCTTGAATAAAGATCCAAGACCAGGTGCCGCGTCCTCGTTTTCTCCAACGGAGAACTCAGAACATCACCGGACGGCAACCGAAGAAACAGGTTTGAGGTGCTCGTATGATATGCCATGCGTGCTCTGTGTTGATGTAGAAAACGGGACCCAGCGAGGAGAGGAGTCCTCAGAGTAGCCAGCGGTGGCCCGAGAGTCCCCGTCCAGCACGTATCCCGAGGCTGGTGTCTCCCAGCTCAACCTTGATCGCAGCCCTCAACACCGGATGCCATGCTGCAGCAAACGCTGCCAGGTCCGAACCCCGGCCACATTGCCAGTAGCCCCTGTCCAAGACGAAGCGGGGCGGCTCGTCGACGAAGGCCGCATGGTCAGCATGGCTGCCCGTCGAGCCAAGGTTGGCATTCTCCTGGATTGTCACCGGGGCGTCGGCAGGGCGCATTCTCGTTCCCATTCCCAAAAAGTCCCAGGTTGTTCCGGAAGCTGTTCCAGGCCCGGGGGCCCTTGTCCGTCCAAGGTCGAGCCGGGGTCGTTGACGAGCTGTTGTTCGGGTCCGGGTGGTCATTCTCGTGAATAGCCTCGTCCCGCACGACTTCCATCATGTAGATGCCTTGGTAGAACGCCGGGTAAGTAGGCTTCCCCTTCGGCTTGCCGCCTTTCCCTTGGCGCTGCCGCCCTTGTAGCCGCTGCCCTTGGTCATGCCCTGGCCTGGTACATAGCAGTGCCGGCACTGCGGACATTCACGTCGGCAAGGGCGCGAAGAGCTTGCCGGATGATCTGGAAGTTCACCTTGTCGTTTGCCAGGGTCAGTATCTGCTGCCTCTCCGGCGCAGAGAGGCCTGCTCCCTTCAACAGCCGATATCCACGAAGCTCATCACTGAAAAAGTCAGGGGCCGGAGCCTTTTAGGAGGCTCGGCCACCCCATTGCCTCTGGCGCGAGCGCTGCGCCCGGCACGGAGAAGATCCCGGAGGGGCCTTCCCAAATTCGGGAAGGTCAGCAAATCCATCCTCAGCTCCGGCCTCTTCTTCGGGAGCACCATCAGCAGCGCCCGCCTTCTCAGCAGCCGCCGCCAAGCTCTCAGCAAGAGAGATTTCAGCAAAGTCCCTGCATCTACGAAGTGCTTGTTGGAGCTCCGCGAAGTTCTCTTCCTCCCGCACCAGAAACGCAGGAATTGATTCACTGTCTCGCCTCCGGAAGTTGTTTCATCTCTCAAGCTTCTGGAAGCTGTCGGGGATCGGCAAGGTCTGGAGCGGTGAGCGGCGAAGCTTGTCCAGGAGGAGGTCCAGGCCTTGTACGTTGTAGAACTGGTGGGGGTCCAGGTGCTTCACAACTGACTTCGCAGGTCCTCTCAGGCGGCCACTGCCCCTTCCCGCTCGGCTCCTTCAGAGTAAGGAAGTACCGCTTGCAGGCGGTCTCGAAGCCCGCAAAGCATCTGGGTCCCCGTTTCAGGTCGCTATGTCCTGGCCCTTCTCGCACCCCAATCGCCGCGGATGCCATCGGAGCTCTCGAAGCCAGTGGCTCCGCTGCCATGAGATTGGGGGGCTCCTCGTAAAAGCTTGCGGGCAACACAGCCCTGCGTGCACGAAGCGCAGCCAATTGTTTTGCTCACTCTGCAGAGCCCAAACCCTGCGGTCGTGTGACGTGTCGAGACTGTCTGCACATGCCAATGCGAAACCTCACGAAAGAACATGACTACATGACACCTGTCCTTCTGACACCGAGCGTACAGCGACTCACCAAAAAGCCACGACCATGTCCCCACGCACCGAACCAATTCCAGCATCGAGTCCGGCTGATGCTCAGGTGTGCATGATGCTCATGCAACTTGCTTTTGCACGAAACACCACAGGCTCTGCCTGCAAATGCCGACTTTGCAATTGCAAGCTCTAGTTTCTCGGTGAGTCTGAGTACTGGCTGGCTTGCCTCCTGCCAGTGTAACTCCAAAGCTCGTGAACGTAAAGCCAATCCCAGATTGACCTGAGAGTGATCAGCTTACGAGACTACAAAGTTGTTCGAAAGTATATACTTGATCGTGCCTTGGCATTCCTTTTCGGGTCTCGGGGCAGCTTCGGGTGGCGCAGCTGGGCCGGGATGACAGCCTGGACGAATGCATCTCTCGAGATGAACGAAGGATACAGATGCGACCACCCAAGCCGAGGTGGTGGCAATGACCAAATTCTTCCCCTTTTGATCTTTGACAGGAATCTCAACTGTCCACCTGTGGGATAAAGGCCGTGAGCACAGGACAGTTGGCAAAAGGCGCGCAGTTGACAGAGTGTAAGACAATGAATACGAAGTAACATCTGCACACGAGTCCGACACCGCATGCGCACGTGCCGTGATTTGTGGATTTGCTCATTGAGCAGCAACTGTACTGCAAAACTCGAGGCCTTACGGACGAAAGCCGAAAGAAACCCGCCCTGTTTACATGCACAGCGTGACGGTAGTTCTGCTGTTGCGTTGCTGCAGGTACAGCTATATATCTTTGAAGTATTTCGAAGACAAAGACAAAAAGAGAGACGGAGAGAGTGAAAGCGAGAGAGAGAGAGAGAGAGAGAGTGAGGGAACCGAAAGAGGCAAGGAGGGAACGAAGAAGGGCTGTGCGGTGTCGATAAAGCTGGCCGAGGCCTCCTCTGTTAAACAACCTTAATGTGAGCAGGTGATGGGCTGCACATCCTAATTTTCTGGCTTGGATGCATGCCAGGCCTGGATTGATGATACTGATGCTACTTCTAAACAAGGCTCATGCCTTGAACATGCGACGCTGGTAAAAACAGGCTTGCTCTACGTTATCCTCCGTCTGCAAGTCAAGTTGACAATTACCACGTGCACACGCTTACAATATGCCGCCACCAGCCTATCTAAGCAAAGGCTACCCGAGCTTCAGAACGCCTTCCCGCACCGGTACACGGGTTTTGGTACGCTTTTTGTTGCGCAGCATGCCTTAATGCAAAGTATGCAGCCAATGAACTCATCCAATGGCGTGTACGGCACAAAAGAGACTGAGACCCCGTTGCCGTTACACCCATCAAGAATCTGCACTGCACACCGCGTCAACATGCAACAGCCCGCATGTGCTTGTTTGCTTGGAGGGCAATACATTCTGACCCGTGCGAACGGCCTGTCAAGCCACTCCACGTAGTTCAACACTTCGCACTCGAGTCCCTTGAGCTTCAGACTGCCGTACCTGCGTTCTCTCCAGTCGCAGGAAGCAGATGGCATTCCGATTCAAGGGCACTCTCCACCGAGAAGCAGCCTCCTCTGACCCACCTGGATATCGTCTGGGTCATCACCTTGTAATGAAATGAACAGCATAAGAAGTTTCAGCAGCCAGCAGGGCCCGTCGGGCAGGCGAAGGTGAGGCCTCCCTCGCCGACATCGCGCAGCAGGTCCCACCTGCAATTCGTCGCAACAACATGCAGAACCTCGCAGGAGTCAAGGATCGACCCGTCCTGCAATGTAATGCAATCCGACGCAATGCACTGCGATGGCGTTGAACGGAATGCAATGCCATGCAATGCAATGCAAAGCAACGTAATGGAATGGAGTGTACTGCCATGTACATCCAATATTTCTTGGATTCTGTGACTTCGATGGATACAGTCGTACTGCTAGTGTTCACAGCAGTAGCTCACTCGCGATTCCATGTTAATGTGTGTTATCATCAACTGCTGTAAAAAGAAGACACAAAGCAAGCACACTCTGACTCTGCTTCTGCAGCTTGCTAATGCATGCGATACATGTGATGCAACAGATACTTGCAGAAACGTGTCTATTTCCGCACTTTGTGGCACATTGACTTGTTTTAGTAAATTCAAGACTGGAGGATGTGTGGATGACAATTGAATCTTGGGAGTCCCACAGGAGCCAAGACGACAGCTTGCTCTTCCGATTCGAGCCTGTGGCATCGTTTCGCAGGTGTTTGGCTGATCCAGATCTAGAGTGCGAAGGGAAAACACGTTGCTGCGTGTCAGCACATTGCTCGAAGTCTGCACTGTCTGTACTGGTTCATGTTCGTCCCCTCGAAGCTTGGTCCTGATCAACAAGAATCACAAAGTGCAGTGGAGCTTTCTTTTGCTCTACGCATGCTTGCAGCACCTGGTGGCAAGCTTCTTCTTCGGTGATTAGTTGCATCTGGCGATCAGTATGCCTGCTCGGACTACTCGGCTCGGTTCGTCTACATAAGATCTATCCGATTGCACAACTGCTCAGGCATGGTCGGTTCTTTTTTCTTTCGGCAGGGTTAGGGACCGGGGGTTGCCCCCCTAGCTGGACGGTTCTCTCCCTGTCTCTTCTTCTTTCTTCGGGCATAGAGGGCCCTCCGGGCTCTAGGCCCGCCCGTTTGCTATCCGGGGCTTTTGCAAGGGCGTGAAAACTCGGAGTGGAAAGTCACCAAAGTTCATAACAACATATAACAACCTTGATGCCTGCATTACTCACCGTAACATAAAACGGTTTCGCGGGGCTGTGTCTCTCTCTCTCTCTCTCTATCCGTTAGCTTCGCTTACAAAATGAAACCTCTTCGAACGGAGGTTTTGAATACTGACGATTTGGCGACAAAGCGCACTTTTACTATGCTTCTTGGACATCAAAATTGATTTGTGCATGAAATTGAAAACAACTGCATCTGGCAGTGCGTTGACGGTACGCTTGATGTGTGAAAGCGAGTTCTCCGTCAGTTCTCACGGTTGTGTACGGTGCAACTAGACATGTGCACGCAGGATGCGGGTCCATGTTCTACATGTTGACGGATTTTGGATGTGACATCGGAAGGACTACATCTGGAAATCAAGCTTTTTGCCGTGCGCCGCGCGTGCGTGCTGCTGACGGGCCTGGATCCAATGGACGTGTCAGCTTTCGAAGTCAGCTGCAAATCGCATACCTCGAACAAATGTCTGCAATCTGCAAGCATGGCGATCGGAATAATGTAATTCACGACCGATCGTGAGAGTCGAGCGCGTGAAAGAGGGATCTCACCGGCAGGACCCTTGTGCCCAGCCTGCGCATGTAAATTGCTCCAGCATCGTCTAGTTAAGACCGCAAGGCGACGTGCGAGACGTTGACATGAAGCCTTGAAGATTCGAACTCGATCAGTCCACAACTTCTCCAGGAAGCAGAGCTCGCCTACATCCAAGTCCTGACCTGCCTGCAATCGTTCACAGATGAATGCTTGTCGCATAGGAGGCTTCTGTGAGGATTTCTGCGAGGCCTCCGTGTCAGCATCCCGTCTGAACTCCATCACTCGCCACCACCCTTCGAGTTTGCGTGGGATCGACTCGTCATCGGCAGGGCCTTCGGTGTGCGACCTGACGTAACCAGTGCTGCAACACTTTCCGCAGACAGCCTGTTGCACCAACAAGGCACGACTCGGCAGCCTTCTTGAACCAAGTCAACACGCCTGCTAACTCCATACCGACCCGCATTGGCACTCCTTCGATCCTAGCTAGGTCTGCTACGATTTCGATGATGAACCCCGCCGGGGTTTCTTGGCAACAGCTCGCCATGTTCGGTGTCTGGCCCGTTCATTCCCCGAAGCTTCGGCGAGGAGATTCGCTTTTGTGAGACTCGTCGGTGCAAGCTTCTGTATAGTCTTCTATGTACCTTGCACTCTGTTCTACAATGCATTCGATATCGGTCGAACTCCAGTAAGCTGCTCAGCCAGATTCAGCCAGAAGTTGGAGTGCTTTGACTGCGACGCCGTGCATATGTCTGTCACAGGAAGCGAATGCGCCAAGTATTATTGCCCTGACTCAGTGCTATGTAAAATGGTTGACCAATCCCAGAAAGGTTTGTTGTGCTTCTTCTGGCGCAACTGTGAGTGTCCAATGGCGCCCAAGATCCCAGCAGGAAAAGAAAGGAACTATGCCACATTGCGCAGTAAGGTCGACATGGCCAGTCAAACGATATCAACGCCCTCTCCGCACACCTGGGGATCAGGCTGAGCATCAACCCACCACGGAGTCGGCCTGTGACTGTGCTTTGTCTTATGGTGTCCAAATTCTTCAATCAAGAAGCCAAGTGCGACTTGCATACGAGGCTATGGAGTTGCTAGGGCTTGGACACATCGGACTTCCAGCAAGCGCCAGCACCTGTGAAAGGGCAAGCTGAATCCTCCCGGTCCACCTGCACAGCATCAACATCTTCAGCGCCACTGCATTCTGCTCTGCATGACATCCCATTGATCTCCCCAATATCCTTTCGAAAACTGGTTAACTTTTTGCGGGAATGTTCCAGTTCAGCTTTTCATCTGACAATGGCGGTGCACCAGAGTTTGGTGATGCAAAAAGACGCAAGAAAGTGTGTCCAGGTTTGGCCTCAAGTAGCATTGCTGTCAGTCGCAGCAACATACAGGTCCATCACATGGGCAGTGATTGTCCAAAAACATAGGCTGCATTCCCAACAATTCCTCTCGGGTCTCCCGCAGCACTCCACAATTCTTTGTGATTCTTTATGTTACCGAGTTTGTGGCTACTGTACTTCTTGTTTGCACCACCCCACCAGCGACTACCGACTACCTGACTACCACAACAACAAGAACAAGAACAGTAACACCAAGACCAAGACCAAGGCCACCTCCAGCACCACCACCCCCACCGCCACATGCTTTATTGGAGGCTGGGCGAGCAGGCTCTGCTCACAGAGGGCGATTTACGTCCGCCCTGGCAACCGCTGTACAAATGATTCAAAGACTTGTGGCGGAGAAATTAAAGCTTTGCCAACCACAACCACAACCACAGCGACGACCACCACAACAACGACAACGACAACCATTTTAGTGGACGCTGAGCGAGCGGGCTCTGGTCATAGCGGGCGCATTGCCACTGCCATAGCACCAGCTGCACAGAGCAAACGGAGAAGGAACATTGTGAATGCCCAGTTTGGGATTTCGTCGGGTTTCAGCTACCGCAATGCCCTACCCTGTAGGGCGATGCCCTTGTTCAGACTCAAGCGGTGCATCATCATCCCAAACCGCGGGGAAGGCACTGGCCGCACTCGCTGCCATGGGCATGAACGGCGCGGTGAAGAGCACAGTAGTGTCGTAAAAGACTATTAGAACTCCTACGCCAATATACGCCAATGACCGGCTGAGGGAGTCTAAGACTGCGTTGTGCGCAAGCCAACGTGATTTGAAATCGACTGTGCTGCAGCAACCTGGCTCGCAGTTTCAGTCACTGAGTAAATTCTTGGCCCGGCCGAGGCTCAAAATCTAGCAGCTGCAGGCTTGAATCAGAGGCTTTATCAAATGTGAACATCCTCGCAGCCAATGATCAGGAAGAGGATCGGATCCGTGTTCAGATCCTGCAAAGGAAATGTCCTGCAGGCGATGCCTGTTTGAGAGGAGGCCTGCGGTGCAGGCCCATGCCACTCCTTATAGCTAAGAAGAAGCGGCTGTTAGTCTGAGTAATCTGCGATTGTGTACAAAAGCATAGTGCCACGCCGAAAATCTCCGGATGCAACTCCGCGATAGAATCGGCAGAAGGTACTGGAGCACGGAGCGTATGTCCTGTCTCATCCATGAGGTAGAGAGTGCTGTGGAGCCGGTGGGGTGGCGCCACTAGCGAGCGTAGCTCCGCATAGACGAGGACTTGCAGGCGATGCCTGATTGCAGCGAGTCCCGGACGATGCCGGCTTCGGGTAGTCCTGATCCAAGCCACGTCATTGTCAAGGAGACATCTGTCTAAGCAAAGTTGAAGAATATTGCAGGTGCGCGTCAACTGCATGGTTTGTTCTGATCGGTCGTTGGCCTCCATGAGAAACGTTATCTCCATGATCGCACTGCCAGGCGGGGTCTGAAGTTGTTTCCTGTGTATGGACCGAAAGCGGTTGCTGATGTGCCGATTGTCCGAAGCGTGTTGCATGGTGAACTCCAGGTGCTCGCTTGCGGGGCATGCCAGCAGATGCGGCGCAAGACAAAGGCTCGGTATTGTGGTCTGTTGTCGGCAAGGGCCTGCCGCCCCGCCGCCAAGTCATGGACGAGGAAAAATCAAATTCTCCACTAAACTCTCCGCTATCTGAAGTTGCAGAAGGGCTACTCATCTCAGCCAAGGCTACACAGGTAGTTGTACCGTGCATTCTAAGGCAGGTTGTCTCGCACGCTGTATGTCGAAAGAAAGAGTCCTTTGTGTCGCTGTTTTGTTGTCAGCGGTCTCATCTGATTTCAGACAATAGCACGATGAACCCCAAGAACTTCTCGGACGACCTCGGAAGGGGTAGGAGAGCATGGCGGACTGGATGGTGCTCAAAAAGCCCTGCGCGGTGTCAATGCCGGAATTCAGCAACAGCGATGCTGTAAGGGCCTCCTCCGCGGGGCATGGGCGGTGACCCGCCGTCTCCTGCAAATGTTGCGCCAGGTTAGCGCCTACGTCGTCCGTGCTTGCAGCTCCGCTTCTGGATCCAAGAGTGCGCCCTCCAGACTTTGTAACTGAGCTCTGGCTTGTGGCTCCCAGGGACGGAGCTTCTTCAAGGTTTCGCGAGCAATGTGGGAGTCCCCTGTAAAGCACGCTTCCTCTACTTCTTTTTGAAAGTCCTGGGCTCGCTGCTTTCTGGCGAAGCTAATCGCCTGCTTGTGCCACATGCCCAAGTCATCAAGAAGCTGTGTGTGATCAGCGTCCGTCAGAGCGCAAGAATCATATTCCTGCTGTAGCTGTTTCAGGCGTGTCCACATGCGTAGTGTAGCTCGGTGTTGGGCATTTTGCGGTTGGACCCCTCGCTGGGGTTTCGGGAAAATGTTTCAGAGCCTTCTAACTAGTTCTAAAGCAATTGTTTTACTTCGTCGGGCTCGAAGGTCTTTGTGCTGAGCCTGTTCCTAACCCATGCGTGCATGGCTGCCGACTGTGGGCTGCCAGCCCTTACGGCGGTCCCTAAACTGGTTAAGCAGTAAGGGGCAGATCCAGGTGGAGGTTGGGGAAGGTTCCAATGCCTAAGGGGCAGCATGGAGTTGAGCATTGAAATCTCAGCGTGTTTCTGGTAGAGATAGAGCGCATTGCAGAAGCCAAGGTACGGAGGAATTTTTTTCTGTCATCCTTGTTCTGGTGGATCGACTTTTGTGATGACCAGGCGCGCTGGTAGGCTACTAAAATTTGCATACGAGCCCCTTGCCACGCAAGGAAGCTTGAACTAATCTTCCTCTGATATGTTCCTTCCATCGAATTTTATACTCGTCTATGCACAGGAGCATGACTCCATCTGCCCTACTGGTGTCCAGGAAGGAAGCTTGGTCCGGGCCTGTGGCAGCCTCCTGCAGTGCAGACTCTGGTTGGCCTCGGCGGTGCCGGGGCCTTTGCTTTCCCCTTGGGAGCTCGCGCAGCTCCTGCCTTGGCTGAGCTGATACAGTGCCAGCCCTCCACCGCAAACTCGGCTGTCTCATTCCAATGTCTTTCTTGCAATGCACGAACATGACAAACACGATCAGCACTGGTGTTTAGACGAGTTTTGTTTGATCTCTGCCCATTGTTGCAGGCCTAAATGTCTTGCATTTCACAAAAGAACGCATATAGGCTTGTTGAGTCTCCCTCCCCGTCGGCTTTGGTCGAAGAAGAAAGGTGCTGGAGAGGCAGAGGCTGGAAGATGAGGCGGCTCGAGCTCTTTCTTAAAAAAAGCTGGCATGAGGGACCCCTGTCTATCATTCTGGGTCTCCTGTGTGCTTGTAAACCCGACGGCAGGCTTTTTTGAGGGCCTTCGCTGCTCTGATATGAGCTCTCGGAGTTTGCTGCAGGCATATCTCCATGCGGGGCGGTGCCTTCAACCTGGGCTATGCGATGCATAGTCCTGCTCCGAACAGCTGAATGAGCGTTCTTCGAGAGGCCCGGGAATTGGGACCGGTGCGCTCTATGGCTCAGTCGAGTGGGCAATTCTTACGCTTGGCGAAGGAGCCTGTTGTGAGCCCCTGGAGTTCGCACGCACAGCCTGGTTGACAGAGCTACCCTACCTTCTCTGACCCGTGGCGGCTACAACGACAACCACAACAACAATTTCAATTGAACGCGGCGCGAGCGTG